TTGTATGTGTCTGTGTGTGTGTGTGTGTGTATATATATATATATATATATTATCCTAATCCATGCCTAAATGCTTCTGTATAGTATAACATAATCATTTAGTCATGGATTAGAATAATTATACTTGTTTAAAAGATTAATTTACATAGCAAAAGTATCAAATGTTGTTATTAAACATAGCTAAAGAACTGGGCATTAGGTTTTTTTTTTAATTTTAATCTTGGTATAGCACTTTCATAAATGAAACTGTGATGCTTATGAAGGTGTTTCTTCCAGGCCAGTATTCTTAGGACGACTGACGACTGGCATGGCAGAACTTTGTCCACATTTGCAACAGTGTTTTGTTGGATCAGACAATGATGAGAGTCATCAGTTCTTAAGAGTTACACAAAATACCACTGACACAAAAAAGGTATCATGCTAGAAACAACTGGCTTAGAGAGGATAAACTTTAAGTGTTATTTAATACAGTTACACAAACTCCCAGTGGCCAAATAAAGGTTCATTCACAACCACAAAAAAGTGATATTTTCAAGCATTTCATGTGAATTACAGTCTTATGGCTTTGCATTTGTCTGTGGATTTTTTTTGGGGGGGGGGTTATAAAATGTGACATACTTTAGAAAGGTATTGTTTAGAGTTGGGCAGTTACCTCAACAATCATTTATCTATAAGCATTGATTAATGGATTAAGCATTGTTTAATTAAAATAAGTGTTTCTAATTATTACTGTTCTTGATTATTCCAACTGAAATATTTCCATAATAATTTTTCATTATTATTTTCAATTAGTAAAAGGGGTATTCAATTTACTCAGTTAGTGTTATAAATCACAAAAGTAATCAGCTAATCAAAATTATTGTTTTAAATTAATACCATTTTTTTGTTATTTCATATCTCATGTGAGAATAATTGATTAATTGAATGTAATCAATTAATGAGTTCAGCAATTAATCAATTAGCAAATTCCACTAATCACTCAGCTTTGCTATTGATCTTAAATCTTGAAGCAAGTGTATTGTTCACTTAGAACTTACCTTGACAAGTTGTATTGATACTAGATTATTTGGTTTATGTTCTAACAGGTGGAAGAAACTGACTGGGAAAGAGTGAAGTCAAAATTATTAACCCAAAGTGCATCTTTATTTGGGTATGTGATTTTTTGTGGAAAGAAATGTTCTCCAAAAAATTGTTTAGGGTTACAGTATTATATGTTTCTTGAAAAAATCATTAATATTAAATTTTGATCAAAGTAATCTACCATCACACGGCAAAACTAAAAATATATATATACTTAGTAATGAACATAATTAATTAAATATAATGTTTAAGGTATATTACTTGTAATGATTAGAATGTTTTATTACATCAGTTGGATATCCTTGCTGTTAACAATATTTAAAGCTGTAAATCCAGTAATATCTCGTGAGGTTCGGCCAGTCGAGGAGGATTAAGTTAGTCCTCAATATATATATATACTAAGCAAACAATACAGAATAATCATTATAACAAAATAATAAACATAACATTAGATTATATTCATGTAGATATAATAAATATTCTGAACAAAATTATGTGTCTACCTTATTTATAACGATGTCCAAAGTCTTTTGGAACTAAGTAACACCTGAAGTGCTTGTACAACCAAACAATATGTGATGTAGGTAAAAAAGCTTAAATTGTTACACATTTTCAGCATAATTTAGATTTAAGTATACACAGAAGAATAAAAAATTGACACCAAATTATAATTTTTCAGTTTTGTTGATGCAGTGAGCAACTGAAAAGTCTAACTAACAAGAGATTTGGAACTATTCAAACAAAAATATCTACTTTAAAGCAAATTAACACTTATTGCACAATATTAGGTCATAAACGGCAAGAAAAGCTAATTTAATAGATAAATACGGAGCAGTCACTGGTTCGGCTGTTTCAGCTTGTGGCTGACATTCTACTGTAGCTTTAATACTTTTTGTAAGAATGTTTTGTGTAATATGGTAAGTATCTTCATTTTGTATATTCATGACAAAAAGTAGCAAAAGATAGTTAATACATAGAAGTTTACATTAAAATGTGTGTTAACATGTAAGTTGTGTGTTGGCTTGTTAGTCTTCTGTGTTAACATGTCAGTTTTGTGTTTTGACTTGTTAGTTTTCTGTGCTAACATGTTAGTTTTGTGTTTTGACTTGTTAGTTTTCGGTGTTAACATGTCAGTTTTGTGTTTTGACTTATTAGTTTTCCATGTTAACTTGTTAGTTTTCTGTATTAACAATGTCAGTTTTGTGTGTTGACTTGTTAGTTTTCTGTCTTAAGATGTCATTTTTGTTTGACTTGTTAGTTTTGTGTTAACATGTCAGTTTTGACTATTAGTTTTCTGTGTTAATATGCCAGTCTTGTGTTGAATTGTTAGTTTTGTGTATTAACATGTCTGTTTTGTGTTTTGACTTGTTGGTTTTCTGTGTTAACATGTCAGTTAACATGTTAGTCTTGTGTTTAACCAGTTAGTTTTCTGTGTTAATATGTCTGTTTTGTGTTTGGACTTGGTTTTCTGTGTTAACATGTCAATTTTTGTGTGTTAACATGTCAGTTTTTGTGTGTTAATATGTTAGTCTTGTGTTTAACCTGTTAGTTTTCTGTGTTAATACGTCTGTTTTGTGTTTGGACTTGGTTTTGTGTGTTAACATGTCAGTTTTTGTGTGTTAATATGTTAGTTTTGTTTTGACTTGTTAGTTTTGTGTGTTGAATTGTTAGTTTTCTGTGTTAATATATCAGTTTTGTGTTGATGTGTTAGTTTTTCTTGTTAACATGTCTGTTTTGTTGGTATGTTTTAAAGATATCATAGATAAATGTGATAACATTTAATGTATTTTATCACACTACAGTATTTGGGCTAGAAACTTTGTTAAGAAGTTGTGTGGAGAACTAGAAACTCAACTTTATGGAGTTTCCCCTGTTACCATCTTGAGCTCCATTTTGGTGAGTTCCTCAGTAATTTCATCAACCTATTGTTTTAATCCTTTGACAACTTTTCTGACAAAAGTAAAATCCACTTATGTTATATTGGCTGCTTAAACACTAAAAGAGATTAGAACTTGAAACTAACAGCATTTTTAAGTTAGGTTACAGCAAGGTTTCATGCTAGTAAAGTCTTACGACACATTTTTAGTGTTACTTAGTGAATTACTATATTTTTTGTAAATGTGTTTATTAATACTTTGTAACAAACACACAGTTTTTATTGTAAACACCAAGATTTTTAAATGTTTCAATTACCAGAATACTCTTATTACAAAATTTTTTAACTCTTAATTAGCAAAGTCCTGCAGGCATATTACTGTTGGCTATAGATTGTCTTTTAATGTGTTGAAGTTTCATATGGTTGGTGTCTCAGTACTTCAGTTAATAATGTTTTGTTATGGTAAATGTACATGTTGAAGATTGATATGGTTAGTGTCTCAGTACTTCAGTTGATAATGTTTTGTTATGGTAAATGTACATGTTGAAGTTTCATATGGTTGGTGTCTCAGTACTTCAGTTGATAATGTTTTGTTATGGTAAATGTACATGTTGAAGATTCATATGGTTGGT